TGAACTTTGACCTTGAATGGATGAATTAATGTCGGAACAGTGAATTTAATTTAAAAACGCTTCGGTGCTGAACTTTGACCTTGAATGGATGAATTAATGTCGGAACAGTGAATTTAATTTAAAAAGGCTTCGTTGCTGAACTTTGACCTTGAATAGATGAATTAATGTTGGAAATGTGAATTTAATTTAAAAACGCTTCGGTGATGAACTTTGACCTTTAATTTATGAATTATTTGAACATTGAACCAGTAACACCTCCAATAAACAAATCTGATCACCAGGAGGTGCTATCAACACTCTGTACTTTAGTATTCCTCCTCCTCCTCGGGTGCACTCTGAGAAGGAGTCTGCTCCCTGTATAAAGCCGGCTCCTCCTCCTCCTCGGTGCACTCTGAGGAGGAGTCTGCTCCCTGTATAAAGCCGGCTCCTCCTCCTCCTCCTCGGTGCACTCTGAGGAGGAGTCTGCTCCCTGTATAAAGCCGGCTCCTCCCGCCTCCTCCTTCCTTCTTCCTCCTCCGGTGGCTCCTTCAAGCTCTGCAGCTTTCTCGTGCTCGTCATGGGATTCGGTGACCTGAAGTCGGCCTGTGGCCTGAAGGTTCTCAACGACTTCCTGTTGGACCGCAGCTACATCGAGGGGTAAGTAGCCGGTGGAACCGCAGGGTAGAACTGAACAGAACCTCCTAGAACCGCACGCAGGGCTCTGAAGCTGCAGGCGCCGCCGCCATCTTGGATTGCCGCTACGCTAACGATGCTAACAGTTAGCTTACAGCCTTGCGCGGTTTCACCGTTAAATCCCGTCACGGTGACCCGGAAAGTTCCGTGATTCGGTGGGAAATTGTTTAAAATGACCGCAGAGAGCTGCAGGTTCTCTTTGACTTCAGTATTAAGTGTTTATATCAAACAATTTTATTAGTTTTTAACTGAGTGGAGTCACGTGGGCTGACTGCGGCTGCGCAGTAGGGTGTTGGATTTTTTAATTTTTTAAAAATAAATCTTTGTTAAAGCAAATGACAGGTATACAACAAACGAATGAATGAAGTATGCAGAAGAACACAACACGTATATGAACAAAGAACCAGGGGTGGGATTTTAAGATTTACAGATAGAAATTGTCCCAAGGGCCTTTTTGTTGCTGGAGAAGAACGTTCCCCTCCAGAAGAATCGGTCCAGAGGACCTGACTGAACTTTGTTGGAGGTTCCTCCTCTGTCCTTTCAAACGGAGTGGTTTTGTCTTTCTGAGTCCAACGCAGCAGTTTGTCAGGAATACATTGGGTTTCAACAGGAAAATGGACTCCTGTCCATATGTTGGATTTAAGCTGTCATTTTATTAAGAAGGGGACAGTCCTCTGGCTGTCCTGCATGTGGACAGGAGGACGACACAGCTGTGGACTGAAACTTGGTCTGCATGATGCTCTGAGCGTGGTTGGTAACCATGGTAACATAATTTCTGTCCCCAGGTTTGTTCCGTCCCAGGCTGACGTGGCGGTTTTCGAGTTCCTGTCGGCCCCGCCCCCAGCTGACCTGTGCCATGCGCTGAGGTGGTACAATCACATCAAGTCCTACCAGAACCAGAAGAACAGGTGAACCTGCTGCTGATGATGTCATCGGGCCAGCCATGTCCAGCTGTCACTGCCTAAACTCCACTTCCTGTCAGTCTTCCAGGTGTAAAGAAACCTCTGGGTCAGTATGGACCCCCGGGTGTGGCCGACAGCACCTCAAGCTCTGCCCCCGCCGCCTCCAAAGAAGATGAGGATGACGACATCGACCTCTTTGGCTCTGATGAGGAGGTGAGGTCACAGCGAGGGCACGGTGACATCACAGGCGGTGGGTTAGTCTCTTGACCTGATTTCTGTCTCAGGAAGACGCAGAGGCCGCCAAGCTGAAGGAGCAACGTCTGGCAGACTACGCCGCCAAGAAGGCCAAAAGTACGTCCTCACACACACACACACACTGACCACCTGACTCCGTGATGATCCACCAAACACCATCTTTCGGCTGACTGCCTGATGGACACCTTCTACCTGACGAGTCTCTGCCTCCAGTCAGAGTGAAGCTGTGTGGTTTCCATGGTAACTCTGTCTCCCTCTCATCCTTTAGAGCCCGTCCTCATCGCCAAATCTTCGCTCCTGTTGGACGTGAAGCCGTGGGATGACGAGACGGACATGGCCAAGCTGGAGGAGTGCGTGCGCAGCATCGAGATGGACGGGCTGCTGTGGGGACAGTGTAAGGAGTACTACACAGCATTACATGCAGTACTACAGTACTATACACAGTACCATGGAGTACTACAGTACTATACACAGTACCATGGAGTTGCGCGTTGAAGTCTGCAGAACTGATGATTTAACTCACCATCTTTCGGCTGAAGACTGATGGATACTTTTTGATCTGAAACCTGCAGACAGATGTTGAATCATTATGTCATTTATTGAGCATCAATAACTGTGATTGGGTTTTTGCAGCCAAACTGGTCCCAGTGGGTTACGGCATCAAGAAACTTCAGATCAGCTGCGTGGTTGAGGACGACAAGGTGGAGCTGCGTTTCCTGTTTGAGAATTGACTGGATTATTTACCTGTACTACAGGTGTGTTAAAGTGTGTGTGTGTTTCAGGTGGGTACAGACATCCTGGAAGAGAAGATCACTGCCTTTGAAGACTTCGTTCAGTCGATGGATGTCGCCGCCTTCAATAAAATCTAATAAAGCACTAAAAACAAACTTGCATTATTTGTTCATGGATTCTTTTCATTCTCTCGTGAAAAATGAAAATATTACATGTTCCCCATATAAATTATAAATTGATGACGTAGTTTAAAAAGGCCCCAGATGTGCTGCGGCTGGCTGCACTTCTCAGGTCTGCCTGCAGGGGGCAGCGCGCTCCCGCTGGCCTCACGCGTCGCCGCGTGCACAGCTACAGAAGAAGATCCGAATCGGCAGCGGAAGCTCGCGCAGAGGAAGGACAATGTTCTGGAAACCTCCAGTTGCAGGTAAATTATCCTTGATCGATTGTTTTCAAGCCACGACCTTCAGAGAGCGTAGCCGGCAGTTTTCTGTGACGTTACCGCGAAGCTAACGGCTAGCTGCTGTGCCACGTTACAGAGGGCGTCGCCATGGTTACCGTCAGGTCCGTTCAAACGGGAGTACCCGCACTTCGTGAGGAGTGCGTGTAGAGCCCGATCACCGCACTGACATCTTGTTTTTGAGCTCATTGTCAGACACTCGTTGCTAGCATTGGAGGGTTGTGATTGGCCAGAATCTGGAAGAGCTGGGCTTTTATTGGTCAGTTTGTCCTAGACACGCCCCCTTTAAAAGCGCTCAGGAATCCTTCGTGTTTGGATGTGTCACAAATCCAGATGTTTTCACCTGCTGCTTACAAAGACTAACTTTCTTCTAAAGAGTGAAGTTTATTTTGCGTTTGCTTGTTCGAGGAATAAACTGCAGAGTTTAGTCAACATTTTTAAAACTTCGTCTGTGTAAGGGTCCTGCTGAACATGATGGCACTCTTCATAGTATTAATCTTTTTAAATATGATGGCACTCTTCATAGTATTAATCTTTTTAAACATGATGGCACTCTTCATAGTATTAATCTTTTTAAACATGATAGCACTCTTCATAGTATTAATCTTTTTAAACATGATGGTACTCTTCATAGTATTAATCTTTTTAAACATGATGGTACTCTTCATAGTATTAATCTTTTTAAACATGATGGCACTCTTCATAGTATTAATCTTTTTAAATATGATGGTACTCTTCATAGTATTAATCTTTTTAAACATGATGGCACTCTTCATAGTATTAAACTTTTTAAACATGATGGCACTCTTCATAGTATTAATCTTTTTAAACATGATGGCACTCTTCATAGTATTAAACTTTTTAAACATGATGGCACTCTTCATAGTATTAAACTTTTTAAACATGATGGCACTCTTCATAGTGCTTAGGGTTAGGGTTAGGCTTCTCTGTAGCTCAGGTCAGGTGCTTCTGCCGCTGTTTCTGGTTCAAAAGTGGCTGGACCTGGGGAATGCGGCACCTGTAGCCCATTTCCTGCACACGCCTGTGCACGGTGGCTCTGGATGTTTCTACTCCAGACTCAGTCCACTGCTTCCACAGGTCCCCCAAGGTCTGGAATGGGCCCTTCTCCACAGTCCTCCTCAGGGTCCGGTCACCTCTTCTCGTTGTGCAGCGTTTTCTGCCACACTTTTCCCTTCCCACAGACTTCCCACTGAGGTGCCTTGATACAGCACTCTGGGAACAGCCTATTCCTTCAGCAGTTTCTTTCTGTGTCTTACCCTCTTGCTTGAGGGTGTCAATGATGGCCTTCTGGACAGCAGTCAGGTCGGCAGTCTTACCCATGATTGCGGTTTTGAGTAATGAACAAGGCTGGGAGTTTTTAAAAGCCTCAGGAATCTTTTGCAGGTGTTTAGAGTTACGTCGTTGATTCAGATGGTTAGGTTAATAGCTTGTTTAGAGAACCTTTTCATGATATGCTAATTTTTTGGGACAGGCATTTTGGGTTTTCATGAGCTGTATGCCATAATCATCAGTATTAAAACAATTAAAGACCTGAAATATTTCAGTTGGTGTGCAATGAATCTGAAATATATGAAAGTTTCATTTTTATCATGACATTATGGAAAATAATGACCTTTATCACAATATGCTCATTTTTTGAGAAGGACCTGTACAACTTCCACGTTTCACGACCTGGCACCTATCGGTTATATAGGAAGAAATTGTTTGTATTGCAGAAAATGAACATTGAAGTCAATTTTTGTATTTTTGCTTAGACTACTAGAGGACAAATTGACCTCATTTCCTTAAATTAATTGTTAAAATTTAATAGTTTTCATTTGATACTATTTCTATCTTAACACGTGATTCTTGACCTGCCATTGTGTATCTATTCCTACCAAACCCAGCCGGTCGAAGCAGATGGTCCTCTTGTCCTGATCCTGGTTCTGCTAAAGGTTTCTTCCTCATGAGGGAGTTTTTCTTTCCACTGTCGCCTTCATGCTTGTTCAAGATGAGAGTTCAGTGATGGAGTTAAACTCAAAGCTGCTCCTCACATAAATAATGTTCAATTATTATTTTATAGATGAATGTTTCTGTTCAGTCCCTGAGACGACTTCTGTTGTGACTTGGAGCTTTCGAAATAAACTGAACTGAATAATGATCAACTGTATCAAACGCTTTATGGAAATCAGTTTATACAGCACCAGTTACTTGACCTTTATTCAAAGCAGCACATATATGTTCAGTAAATAGTATTGTTGACATGGTTGATTGTGAAGCATGAAAACCATGTTGGCTATCACTTAACATATTATTAACCTCTAAATGGTCAAGAAATTGGTTTAATAGTGTTTTTTCAAGTAGCTTAAAAACCCGTAAGAACTGAAATTGGCTGATAATTGAAGTGAGGGGACTGTATCTGTGGTTACAGGTGTATACCATTGTGTTCCATTACCCAAGGAGGGCGCCCCACCCTTTCAACAGAACCAAACAGTCTGCCTAGGGACATCCACCCCCACCCACCCATGTTCCACTAACGGTTGGGGAGTGGAGATTGTGATAAGTGGCCTAGCATTAGTACCGTAGTGCTCCGCTACAATTATCACCACGTGTATTACCTGTGGTTACAGGTGTTTGTTACCTGTGTTTCAGGTCTCCTGTCAGGATGTCACACTCTTCTGTTGAAGGTAACAACACAAACATTTAAATTGGCCCAGTTTAGTTTTCACTCTCTCACTGTAACCTGTGGTTCTATGTCAGGTGACCAGAAGAATGTGGAGCTTACCAGCAGGTGAGTGAACGTGTGTGTGTGTTTTAATATCATCAGTGATCAGAAAGACGGACAAAGTCTGAAAGGACAGGTGAGATGACCAGTCTTCTGTGTTTGACAGTATGTGGGAGGAGTCTGAACCAGGTCCATCTAGGGATCCGCCAAGCCGTCAGGGTTATTGTGGATACTGCAGAGTCCTGTACAACAACCTGGACCAGGTAAACACACACCTGAGTCTCTTCATGTGACTGAACTGTTAAGTCATGGGGAGTCAAATGATGACATCATTATGTGTGTGTGTTAAAGCACCTGTCAAGTCTCAGACACCTGGATTCTGTGCGGACATCGTCCAGAGGCTCCACCTCTGTATCCTCCACCTGCAGCAATCAAACCAGACTGACGCTGCTGGAGCGCTTCCTGCAGGACGTCCTACAGCACCACCCGCACCGCTACAACGACCCCAGGTGAATCAAACAAACACCTACACAGGTGAGTAAAACAAAAACAAGTTAAACTTTTACCTGTTTGCAACTTCTGTGTTTCCATTAGACCATCCCACGATGACCTTCCATCAGTCTCCACCCCCCCAGCGCCAAGAGCGAAGCTCGATGAACTCAGTTTCTCTGATGACAGTCGGTCTTCAGGCACCAGAGAAAAACCGCCCAGTTCTGATGATGGGTCCTGTTGGCCAGCCAATCAGGGAGAGGACTGCAGCATGCTCAGCAAACCAGGAGAGAGGACTGGTCTGGAGAGACTCTCAACTCCAGTCAGAGAGCAGGACGACAAAGGGACTGTTCCTGCTGGGTGCACATGTTCACCACAGCCCAGAGCCCTTCCTCCCAACTCTCAGGCCCCGCCTCAGCACCCTCAGGCCCCGCCCTCTATTCACAGAAAAGCCCACAGGAAGACCAACCGAAGGAAACCCAGCGAGTCATCTTCCTCTTCTCAGGTCTCCATGGGCCAAGTTCTCAAGCCCCACCACGAGCAACGTCCCAACACAAATAGGAGGCCCCAGACCTTGGCTCTAACAGACCCAAGACCCTGTGCCCACACAAAACCAAGGTCCCAGTTCCCCAAAGACTTGGAGCCCTGGCAGAACTGGCAGAGGGAGAGAAGGGAGGCTCTGAAGGAGGAGACTTTCTCAGACCAGAGTGATCTCCTGGACCAGACCATCGACAAGGTTGGTTGTTCGTACAGATTATTCTGGCTTTGATGTTCCTTAACTGATTAGAGAAAATTATTGACCATTCATATTACTTTTATTAAAGCCAGTTTACAAGAGCTTTACAGAACAAAAAGGTTTAAACATCCACTTTTTAATTAAAAAACTGAATTCTCACTTTAATCCAACCAACCTAAACTCCAAGACAGATCTGACCATTTTGGTTTCTAACAGATGTGATGTTATCCTCACGGACAGAAACCAGATCTACCGTTCAGTTTCTAATGTAGAATTTTTTAAAATAATTGTCATGGGAGACTAAGAAAGGACAACATACTAACCCAACATACATACTAAAGCTTGATCATCTCAATATCAAACTATCAGTCTTCATGATTATACCAGGCCAGGTCTATCAGTCCTGATCTCATCCTGCAGGATGCAGTGGCACCCAGGTAGGTAAAGAATGGATCCCAGGTCCGATATCCTTCAAGGCTGTATATGGAATGATATCAGCCAGAGTCTGCTTACACTGACTGAGGGTGGGGGCTTTATCACTGATCCATACTGTCAGGATGCATTTCCAAGCACAAGTATGTAAAAGGCAGTTGTTGCAAATGTCAGCAGGAAGCTCCTCAGTCAGTCCCAATAGGCAAGTCCTTGTGCTCAGAAGCAGACTGCACTTAAAATATATATCAAACTGTTGAACTATTGCACCACAGAACTGTTGAATATAGGATCAAGTCCACAAGCAGTGAATAAAAGATCCACCAGCAGATTGACATTTAGTACAGAGTTCTGATAGCATTGGATTCATTCTGTGCCTGGCCTCAGGAGTGATATATAGCCTGTGCAAGATCTTAAATCATCTCTCCCAAGAGGAGTTAGACACCAGAACCTTTGAGGGCTGACTGCACAAGGCCTCCCAGTCCTCAGTCTCTATTATACCCACATCAGTTTCCCATTTCAATTATCAACATTGAGATCACTGAGGGCCCTATACACTTTCTGAGTGAAAGATTTGGGCTGAGTATTATTCACTAATAGGGACTCTATTGGAGAGATGGTCAGACCACCAGCAAACTCTTTCAACTTACATTGAATAAAGTTTCTGACTTGCAGGAATTTAAAGAACTCTTTATTGGTAACGCCATATTTACTTTTAATTTGTTGAAATATGAGAATGGAGCCTCCCTGAATCATGTCTCCCACAACTTTTATACCCCTGTGATCCCAGTTAGCGAAACCAGACCGAAGTCCAGGTTGAAAGTCGGGGTTCTCATGAATAGGAGTTAGCAAGGAAAAACATCTGTTATCTCCTTCAAATTTCCTGATTTTACTTCATATGTTTAACATGTTATTTAAAAGCATATTGTCTTTTACCAACTCCGCAGCCCTAGCAGATGAGACATATAACAGATTCTGTAAAGGCCTAAACCATCTGGTTCACAACTGAGCCAGACAGAGTCGGGGTCATCTAAACACCATTCCAGAAGAAACCTACACTGTACAGCTCATAGGTAAAGAGGAAATGAGGGTCCTCCCCTTTTAACTGGTAAACAGAGATTTTGTTACGCCAAATAAAATATATAATAGAGCTATTTAAAGTTGCACTAACCTTTGATAGCCAAATTGGCAACATCTGAAAACAATACAGGAGGCGGGAGAGAGTGTTCATCTTAATCAGATGCATACGACCCTAAAAGGACAGAGGCAAGCCACACCACCTATCCAGGTCCTGTTTTATGGTATGTATAAGAGGTGCAACATTTAATTTATATAAATCTTTCAAGTTTGGTGAAACTTATACCCAAATATAAAGTCCTGTTAGAGACCAATGAAAGGGGTGCGAAATGCTTGAATCCAATGTTTGTGAGCAACCGAGAGGCAAGGCTTCACTTGTAGAAAAATAATTTTGTAACCAGAGAAAGAGCAATAGCTATCAATTAATTTGATCAATTTAGGGATAGAGTGTGTGGGAGAGTCTAAAAAGATCAGAACATCATCCGCATACAGCGAAATCTTATACTCGTGATTATTTAAGCAGACCATCTTGTCTAATGGTGGAGGCTAAAGGCTCCATAGCTAGTGCAAATAATAATGGGCTCAAGAGACAGCCTTGTCTAGTACTCCGTTCAGTCTTGAAATTACTAGATCTGAGTCCATTTGTGATCACAGCTGAAAGAGGTGATGTGTACAGAATTCAAATCCATCTTCCGGTAATATAAACCTCCCCTAGGCCGAATCGTTGGAGTGCGTAGAAAAGGTATGGCCACTCCAGCCTGTCAAACACCTTCTCTGCATCGAGCAAAGTGACCAGAGCTTCTGCATTATACAGAGAGGAATGCTGAATAATGTTGAGTAGACACCTCACATTGTGCGAAGAAAACCTTCTACGTATGAAACCAGTTTGGTCATTGGAGGGAGACCCATTTTCAACCATGAAGCCATGATCTTTGCCAGAAGCTTCAAGTCAACATTTAGAACTGAGACAGGTCTGTATGAAGAGCGTTCTTCAGATGGTTTCCCCTTTTTCAGCACCAAGGAAATATTATCCTCAAAAAGAGATGGAGGGAGAGCCCCAGCGAGAAACAAAGATTTCAACATATCAAGTAAAGGGTTAACTAGGATGGAATTAAACTTTTTATAAAATTCTGCATTAAAACAGTCAGGGTCTGGGGCTTTGTTGTTGGGGAGTAATTGGATACAATTCCTCATTTCACTTAGAGTAATTGGTTTGCACAGGCTATCCCTCTGTTCACCTGAAATTTTAGGTAACTCCACTTTGGTGAAAAAAATCACTCATATCTTCTTCTGACAACAGGTTAAACTGTGAAGTATATAACTGCTTGTAAAATTATTTTAAAGTGTTGTTCATTATTTTATTGTTATAATTACGTACACCGGTTGAATCTTTAATAAACAAGATAGTCTGAGTTGGGGCCCTGTTTCTAAGAAGGTCGGCCAGGTATCGATTAGGCTCATAGGCGTTGCAACCATTATGTGAAGGGGACAAGTCCCCCCCACATTAAAAAAACGTTCATTTGGACCCCCCCACTTTTACTATGAAACATTAGTTCAGGCGGCACAGTTTCTCTTTCTTCGTGAACTAATCCATTCCACTTGATTAATAGGAGAATACTCAAGCTACTAAAACTCCACTCCAGGTTTTCCTGGTTACCTCCAACTCTCCACCGTCCCTTCCTGCCTCTTGCCTCGGCAGAAAACGTGCACAGGTGGAGGAGGTGGAGGTACCTGTGTTCCTCGCTCGCCAGTTTAGCAGCTTAGTGTGGGCAGTGGTTGACCAGGGGGTTGATCATCAACATGTATTCATGTTAGGAGGATGTTTGAGAGGAGCTACGTCTGTAGCATATTATCTCAGCAGTAACTGTGACGCTGCAGGTGTAAGACTCTGTGTGTTCAGGTGCATTAAAGTTAAAATGTCTTTAAAACCCCACACCTTACTGTCCTCAAGCTTCATGAGAATCATCATTTAGATGAGGAGTGTTGAACACAAGTAAAAAAAGTCCAGTGGTGATGATTTTTATTTCTCTATAGACAAATAGTGCCGACCTGACGCTCTGTGTTAAAGTGTATTAAAGTTAAAATGTCTTTAAAACCCACAGCTGAATTTACACAAAGTTGGTGAGAAACATGTTACAAATGTGTGGAATTAAAGGAAATCTAGGTGAAATGTTGCTTTTTTGTACATTAGTGAACACCTTTATTTATGCGCACACACACATCGTGTCCCCCCCACATTACGGATGCTTCTGACACCCTTGATTAGGCTTATTAGCAAACTCATCTTTTGCCTCATGAAAAATAGACTTTTCACCGTTCTTTGTTAGTAAAGACTCCAAAGCAGTCTTAACTATTTGTATTTCATTATCTAATTCTTCTGACGGACATGGATTGTGTTGGGTCTGAAGTTCATGCAGCTCCATTTCAAGTTTTCTTTGCCCTTCTATTCCTTTTAAGTCCAGCGGTATCTCATAATCAGATCATAATCTCATAATCAGGTCTCCCTTGTAAATGAGTCCCCGAGGCTCAATGGGATTAACGTATAAATAAAGTTGAATGAATGGTATAAGATTCTAAAAAAGTTAAATCTGGTCCTCTGGACATTCAAAAAAACAAAACAAAGCAAATCAACAAAAAAATGTAGAAACGTTTCGTCTCTCATCCAAGAGACTTCCTCAGTCTGAGGAGCTGTATTCAGCTCAGTCTCTTAAATAGCACCTTCTCAGGGTGGATCAACCAGTTTGCTGCTGACAACCAAAACCAGCTGATCACATGATCAAGAAGGACCATCAGCCTAACAATGGATCATTAGCACCTGATGGCTGTTTACT